GCCTTTATTCAGTGTACACTTTAGGAAAGATATTACACCATTTGCTTTTGTAATAAAGCAAGATTATTCGCCACAAAACCAAAAATATGTCATATGAAAGCTGAATATGGAGGTTTTCCAATTATGTTTGCTAGGATGGGACATTTGTCCAAGATGCTTGAAAACCTGGAATTTAAAATCTAAATATTGAGATAATCTCCATATTAAATTCTTAGCAGTCCATTTTGCTAACGAAAAATTACAATTTATTATATTTATGGAAGGAAATTTAGTAAATGCTTACATGAAAGTTGATCTTTATTGAATATTCTATTAATTTTGCAATAAAATACATTGTTAATTCAGATTGTATTTTTGAGTGCATCAATATTATCTGAAGACTAAGGACAGGGTCACGCATTATTTGGATTATTCTGCCATTTTGATTGAGAAAAACCACTGTTGAAAGCCAAAAACAAATAATCCGCCTGTCTGTTGTATTTACTCTCAGAGGAAGATGAGTGATTTAATGAGTGTTTACTCTCTCACGCCGCAGAGCTTTACTCACATGCTGTTGCTTGGCCCCAGTGCACTCAATATCTGCTCTAGTCCGGCTCAAATCGCTTTTAGCCAGTTTTTCCTCCCTGTTCTCATGCAAAATACCCCCTTCCCCAAGTTGCACCCCGTCCTCCCCCAATTTTTTGTCCCCGTCAACAATCCACCTTCCCTGCAGCACATTTACCCTGGGGTGCGTATGAACTCCCAAGTTAGTGTCAAATACCTACATACTCATGTTCAGTAATGTCTGTGATTTTAAACGTAATGAGTCACGTTGAAAAAGACAAGCAGAGGCATGAATCTGTTGATGTGTGCATTGTACTGTTATGGGAACAGAAGTCACAGCGATGGGATTCACAGGATCATAAAATATACATGGATATGTTTGTTTCTTTGATTCAATAATGATCTAATAATATTTCTGACCAAATTGTACATAAAAATATTGTCAAATATCACGTTTCATGGTATGTTTAGACATATTTGGAAGGAATCTCATTAATAGTTTACAGAAAAAAACGAATTGAGTTTATTTAATACTACACTGCTGATGATTGTTGTAAAGTACATAATATTTAACTGTAATTTACGGTAAAACAGTTATGCAGTAAGTCACTGTATTTTATAGCTGCATTGTGAAAATTATTGTATATTTTACAGTAAAGTTAGAAAATGTTGTATATATACAGTAAGATAAGTGTAAATACAGTATCTTTGTTGAAATTGATTCACTGCAAGTTACTGGTGAACTGAACTGTAATATGAACTGTATTTTACTGTAGGACAGTTGTCTGTTACTGTATTTTAAAGCTGCAATGTGAAGCTTACTGTATCTCTTACAGCGAAGATATACAATACTGTACATATACAACGATATAAGTGTAAATACAGTATCTTTGCTGTAATTGATTTACAGTAAGTTACTGGCGAACTGAACTGTTATATGAACTGTATTTTACTGCAGGACAGTTTCAGGATGTCACTGTATTTTAAAGCTGCAGGGTGAAAATTGCTGTATATTTTACAGTAAAGATATACAATTCTGTACATGTACAGCAAGATAAATGTAAATACAGCATCTTTGTTGTAATTGTTTTAAAGTAAGTTACTTGCGAACTGAAATATGAACTGTATTTTACTGTAGGACAGTTATGCAGTTTGTCACTGTATGTTAAAGCTGCATTATTAAAATTGCTGTATATTTTACAGTACAGACATACACTTCTGTAAATACATAAACAGCAAGATAAATGATGCTGTAAATTTAAATATATTATTTTTGCTGTAATTAATTCACAGTCAGATACTGGCGAACTGAGCTGTAATGTAAACTGTATTTTACTGTAGGACAGTTATGCAGTACGTTGCTGCATCTTAGTTGCACTGTAAAAAGGACTATATTTTACAGTACAATCAATACTGCAAACACATACACAGCAAAATAAATGTTGTAAATGTAAATACAGTATCTTTGCTGTAATTTGCTGTGATTCACAGTAAGTTACTGGTGAACTGAGCTGTAGTATAAACTGTATTTTACTGTAGGACAGTTATGCAGTATGTTACTATTTTAAAGCTGCTATTTTTTGCTTTTTAAATTATATTTTACAGTAAAGATATACAATGCTGTAATTACATATACAGCAAGATAAATGGTGCTGTAAATGTAAATAAAAACTATTATATAAAGTATTTTTGCTGTAATTTATTTACATTAGTGTAACCCCACCGGCTCTACGCCACCCAACCCGCTCCGAGCTGGTACCGAACCGGCGACCTTCCGCATGGGAGTCGGGTGCTCTACCAAGGAGGCTAAAGACCATGGCCTCTAGCGTCTGTTGCTAGAGCACCTTTTAGAGGTCAGAGGAGTGAGGTTTACCTGCACAGCACACACTAGCTGGCCTCCGTTACACTCACCCCCCTAAACCTCACTCCCATCCGGGTCACGGCACCAATGTAACCCCACCGGCTCTACGCCACCCAACCCGCTCCGAGCTGGTACCGAACCGGCGACCTTCCGCATGGGAGTCGGGTGCTCTACCAAGGAGGCTAAAGACCATGGCCTCTAGCGTCTGTTGCTAGAGCACCTTTTAGAGGTCAGAGGAGTGAGGTTTACCTGCACAGCACACACTAGCTGGCCTCCGTTACATTAGGTTACTGACTAAGTGCTGCCAATAGCTACTGTAATAATTACAGGTACTGTGTATATTTACAGAAATTTCTTTACAGTGTACAAACAGAAATAATCATTAAAACAAAGAGTTCTCTAAATATTTTACAGCTTTATGTTGTGTTTTTAGACACACACAAATACAAATCCTCCTTAAAGGATCATGTATAACAGACTTAAAAGCAAGATTTTAATGAACATTCTAAGTTAACAGAATGCTTAATATAGCCCAATAAATCACATAACCTCCGTTCACATGCTCCATCCAGCGTGATTCTGCTCCGCTTCTCTGTGCTTTTGTCTGGAGTCATTGTGGAAGCTGATGAGTGTATTGTGTCTGTTCTCTCTGTCTAATTGGCAACTGGACATTGAATTAGTCTGGTCGGATCCATGCGAAGCCTTTCATACAGCCGCCTTGCTCTCTTTTTCTGCTTAATAACAATTTTAAAAAGTATGTGTTGTGTGCTTGTTTACATGTTGCATGTTCTGTGCCAATAAGAACAGGACACCCTTTCCTGAAGCACTGGTTTGAACCAGCTTTCTATACATTAAGCTGACGTCATGATGTGTACTAGGACATGCTGTTGCTTTTCTCCCCTTGTGGCTGAAGCATGTATGGTATGTTTACAGCGATCAGGTCAAATCTGTAAGCTTGTTTGAGATTCTCCAGACGTTTATCCTGCCTTGGGCTTCAAATAGGTGTTTGTGCTCAGGATTAAGCCGCAATAGAGTGGAGGGCTGCTCTGGTCACAAAGATTATAGGCTTAAATATTGGTTTACAGATTGTGTGCTATACTGATTACAATTATTATTATTATTATTATTATTATTATTATTATTATTATTATTATTATTATTATTATTAATAATAGCAATAATAATAATAATAATAATAATAATAATAATAATAATAAAGAGTTTTATTGTTTTTGGATCATTTATTTGCGTGTTTGTTTTTTGGTCCCCAGACTGCATTTATTTATTCAGATATTACAGATAAAATAGTAATGCTGTGTAATATTTTGCTGTAAATAACAGTTTTCTATGTGAAAATATTTACAATTACAGCAAATGTTAGATCTTAGTAAAGCGATTCTTCAAAAATCATTCTAATATGATGATTTGCTGCTTTATTATTACAATTAATATTGGCACTCAGTCATTACTGATGTTATTTATGATTATCAGTGCTGACATTTTTTCTGCTTCATATTTTTGTGCATTTTTTTTTAGGAAATGTAGCTACAGAAGTTACTTTAGATTAATCTGAAGTCTGAGGGCCAAAGATTTACTCTACATGAGGTATCCAATCCAATGATCCCATTAAATACACTCGACAAACATTCATAGAGGGTTTAGAAAGCATAAAGCACTTGACTATTAATACGCTTTAAACTAAACTGAACAAAAATGTCAACTCATAAAGGGATTTTGCTTTAAATTTTTGGAAAGACTTTAAAAAACTAACTTTGGATTAATCTGTCATTGATAAATAAAGGTCTTTTTTTTTAAAGAGCAAAACACTTTGAAAATGATCAGAAATCTTACTTGAGCAGCAAATCAGTATAATAAAATGATTTAGGAATAAATGATTTAGGAATAAATTATATTTTGAAATATATTTATGCATGATGCTTTCTGTTTTATACTGAAATGATATTTCACAATATTATAGTTTTTATTGTAAGTTTCATCAAATAAGCATAACCTTAATGATCAAAAGGTATTACTTTCAAAAATATGAAATGTCTTGATAGGGTACAGTAATATGCATGACAGTGAAAGAATCGGAAAACTCAGCTAGAATCTGATGTGCTTTCTTTCTATGTATAAATGCCTTCATTCACCACCTGATTTCACTGCATGAATGTTTTAACAGCTGCAAGTCTGCCTTTCGCCACCAGGAGCTTAGGCTATGTTTTTGCGTGCTGCGAGATCTGGTTTATTCCGGTGTCAGTAGTGAAAGTAGTGATTACAGAGGAAATAGTGAATGGCACAGGTGTCAAAAAGAACATAGTGGCTTCATCATTTAAAGCCTGTAGAAAACAGTCAGTCAGTTACTGGGTTCAGTTTCTAGCTCCAAATGTAATGGAAACTAGAAAACCAAAGAAAAAAAAACTTGATTCCTCCTGCCAAGAAAAGGAAAACACTCAGGGTTATTTTTGTAACCTGTAGAAGAAAATATCCTTCTCATGCAAACTGATGCCAGCTCTAAAAATAGGCATTACTTACTTAAAGTTAATAATTCAGTCCATCAAACTATTTTTATTACTCATGAGAAACACAAAATACATTTCAGCAAAATTAGTTTATTGTGAAAGAAAGTATTCCGATCATTAGGATATGACCATTTAATACTCTAAAACAAATTCAATTTAACCCCTGTATATCTATTTATTTAAGTTATAAGTTATACAATATGATATTTGCGCATATACATAAGATTAGTCAGTACTTAAGTCAAGTCTGGAGTTTGTCTAACAAAATAACTTATGATAACGGTCCAAAAACTAGTACACCCTAATTTATGTTATTGAAAAATATTAAATATAAATTTAGAAAGAAGAAAAATCAAGAGAAGCAAAGAAAAATTGTTGAAATTTTAAAGAATGAATTTTTTTTTGCAATATTTTGCTTGAATTTAACTGTATTATCTTTCAATTTCTAAATATTTTGGTGATTAAAATATTATTTAATAAATATATCTGTTTAATATATCATTTTTTTAAATGCACAAAAATAAATTGCCTATATTCACTGAGAAATTATATATTCACTCAATTATGCTGAGCACTGTATGTATGTATGTATGTATGTTCAAATTGATGAATGAACATGAATTTATTTAGCTTCAATATGAAATTATGACCCATAACCATCAAAAACATAACAATTCAGTAAACTCATTTCATAACATATGCATATTTATGAATCTAAACAAGAAAAAGACAAGCAGACATAAACATCTTTGCAACTACTATTTCTGACAGCTCATAAATCAAAACAAGAATTCCAACTTAAAAAGTAAGGTAGTTACAGAGCTTGACATTTGATAATGATTTACTGCCAGTAGAATACCACATTTTACAGCTCAAGCAAAGTTACATTTACACAAAACAACCCTTCTTTAGTGATGGCTTGGATTGCATCATTTACAAGCAGCCTGTGTGAAGACTCTTGTCCTGTTGTAAGGATTCCAGATGAAATCAGTGTTGTTTGGTTTGTCGTTGGTGGTGTTTTTCTCCTCACACTCACAGACCTCCTTCATCCTGTTGTTCAGAGAAAAGACAAATCATTCGTAATAGACGAAGGCATGACATTTATTTCAGCATGAATGCTTATACAGTTTGTATGTTTGTTAATGTTTAAAAAAAAATTACTTAAGAAAAACTGATTATAATTCAGAGTCTTGTTCAAATTAAAAAGTCACTGTAAAACAAATCTGTTAATAAACAGTTTCTGGATTTTGTGTTTCACAAGCATTTATTTTATAGTTGTGAATAAAATTAGGAGACCTAGATCTCTGCTCTGTCAAAATTTGATGTTAAATGCTCAATTCTACAGTTTAACAAAGGGGCTTTTATTGATATTTTCGTAGTTTAAAATAATATAGTGTACAAGAAATTATATTTAGAGAGAAATTTGTCTGTAAAATAACAGAAAATCTACTAGCAGTTTATTACAAGGTTTTTGTGCCATAATGCACAACACCAACCCAGACAATATATCACTTTTAACTGTTAAAAATGTAATTAAAAGTCACTTTTTGAAGTTTTCAAGGTTAAAAGTTGTTGGAAAAAAGATGAAAGTCTCGTAATGCAATTCAAAAGCAGGGAATCAGGGAATAAACAGGGAACTAAAAATAAACAAATACAAAAAAATGAATCCTAAAATGTACAGATATTTTTACAGTGCAGTAATGCGTCAGATTGCACAATGTATTTCACAATTTACCGATTTTCTTTTCCGGCAGTCTCCACAGATGCATCCCACACATCCATTCACCACCTGAATGACGCAGAGAACTGCCTGGAGGGCAGAAAGAGACAGAAGTATGGAGAACAGCACAATGTGCCAGAGGACCATGTTCTCAGGGAAGATGCATTCAGACCAGCTAGACTTGTCCACCAGGTAACTGCTGTTCCTGTTACAGCAAGACAGAAAGAAGAGGAAAGTTTGCGTTACTGGCTTCATCTAGTGGCCATACAGTGAACTGCAATTACAATGTAAAAATTAACAGTCAACCTTATCAAATGAAATGAGTGCAGTTAACTCAAAATTGACTGAAAATTAATTCTACTCATTTAAAAAGAGTTTTGAACTAGTTAATTAAATACCTCATTACTTCAACTTAAAAGGAGTAAGTTCACAGTACTCATATAGATTCTTCAACTCAAATGGTTTGTAGCAATCGGTTTCCTCAAACGGTTTGAGTTGCCTTAACTTATTGGGTTTTAAAGTACTCAGGTGGTTTGAGTTCTCTTCATTTATTTGGTTTTACTGTGCTCAAATTGCTTTGTTTACTTAAATGGATTAAGTTCACAGTACTCATTAGGATTAGTTTTTGAACTTAAATGGTTTTGTTGCAATCGGTTGCTTCAAATGGTTTGAGATACCATAACTTTTTAGGTTTTACATTGTACGAATTACTTAAGATTTTCTTATTCTTGCTATTGAAGGTCCAGTACACCCAATAACGGTTGATTTATCAAGAATTCACACACACTTAAAGGATTCCGTCTATTTGAGCTTTTTCAGTTAAACATATGTCATACACAATTTAGACTTTTGCTTAATAAATGCTCAATGCCAAAGAAATGCCAAGGTGCACATACAGTAAAGTATGAAAAATGTGCTTTAAAAAATATACACACACAACTGGGGTTAATTGTTTTATCCAGTGGTGGTCAGTAATAAATTAAATGTAATTCGATACTTATGTATCTTTTTCACATATCTGTACTTTACAGGAGTATTTTCATTTTGGGAGACTTTGTACTTAAAAGTAACAACACTGCACTAAAAAATACTCAAGGCAAAGTAAAAGTACACATTTTTAAAGCTACTTAGCAAATTACAATTTCAGAGAAAAACTACTTATTTGTACTTTGTTTCTTTACACCACTGGTAATAATATGAGTATGAAATAATGATTATTCATCTTTCAACAAAAAAGATTTGTTATTATTACCTCCTAGAATTGCACATTCAATGCTACATTTATTGTGTTTTGTCTTCTGAGGCACACATAATTTATTATATAAGAAAAAAAAAAGCTAATGGGCTCCTTCTACAGCAGCAAATTCATTTTTTCTTTTTGACGTTTGGTGCAAGTATATTAGAAGGTGACAATTTTGACTCATTGATGACTCATTAAATGTTTAATGCACTATTCAGTTTTGCAAGCAAGTCTATTTTATATATTTGGATGGAAACTACTGACATTCATGGGTTTAAAAACCTATGGTAGTTGCTTTTTCCAATGTTTTTTTTTTTTCAAAATATTTTCTTTTGTGTTCAACTGAAGAAAGAAACTATTTGTAACAAGTAGAGAGAAACAAATGATTTCCATTTTTGGGTGAATTTTCCTTTTAAGTTTCCTGTATAACAATTGTCCATATTAACATATTTTTTATTAACATTTTATTTTTAAGGTTTAAAGTGTTCTTACCCTTTCCTGTCCTCAAATGGATATTTCCAGTCTATTTCACCTTCAACTTGGCATTTTGGCCCAACAGCCAAAGCTGCAATGGCTACACAGGCACAGTAGACCGATCCAATAACGCCAAACAGAGATGAGAAAACAGAATTCAGCATCTGTAAAGAAAGACCATCAATGCTGAACAATCAAATGTGTGATATGCTTTCTATAGGCTGCATGTAGACTTTTTTTATTTTGTTTGTTTGTTTACACTTTATTGTCCTCAATGGGGAAATTTGTCTTGGACCCTAGGCCCACGTTTGCATACACTGAACAAAAACACACTACACAAATCAACACAAACATTCAATCATCAACAGAAATATTACATATTTAAAAGTTCATTGATGTAGATAAAACAAAAAAGAGAAGTGTATGTATATTATATGTACAAATGAGAGTTTGATTTTTTTGTTGTTGCTGTTCCAGTGTCAGATTTGCTCACCCGACAACGGTTTCCGCAGCAGCCTGCCCCACAGCAGCCTTTGCCCCCGGCTCTGATGGCTGAGCAGCTTGGGCACATCATCTGATGAACAAAAGTCAGTGAAAAGAGACTCATCAACTGACGGAAGATGTAAACCATTCGATTAAACGTTTATCATATGTAAGTTTCAGCTATGGGGTCATCAAAGCAAACCACAGTCTTATTATGTAAATCATCAGAAGAACAGAATGTTTATAATGTAATTCATCATGCTAAAAGGAGACATTTTGACAATAAATAAATAAAATAAAAACTTTGGAGTTAATAATTAAATTATTAGGTGTAAAATTGTATTTTATAAATGATAATTATGATGATAATAAATATTAGTTCTATTTGATCATAGTAGGGCTATGTGTTTGCCTAAGTAATCGACTTTTTTATGACAATTCAACTCTCAAAAACATTATAGATCTCTAAACCTTTTTAAAGGTCTTGTATGTAAGATTATGACTCTTTTAAAGGAGAAAGATACCTTAATAAATTGGCCCTGCACTGACTCAAACCAGCGACCTTCTTGCTGTGAGGCAACTGTATTTATTTATTTATTTTTTGCCATTTTAATCTAATTGATATTTAGTGATTTTTTTTTTTTTAAAGATTTATTTCTTTAAAATAAACCTTGGGATCACCAGCGACGTGATGATCCCAAGGATTCCATATCCGGGACCAGGCCATATCCTGAGCTGCTGCTGCGCTGATGGTCGTGGGGAGTGGAGAACATGTGTTTGATTCCAGCGACGCTCCAGGGACAGACGAGTCTTCATTGAGGCCATCTTCCAGCATAAACCACGGCGAATGAAGTTCTGCACAAGACTTTTGGCCAGCGGAGAAATTAAAATGGTCGTGCCCAACTGAGTCTGGTTCTCTCAAGGTTTTTTTTCTTCACTCCCATCAGGTGAAGTTTTTTTTCCCTCTCCGCTGTCGCCACTGCCTCGCATGGTTCAGGATTGGTAGAGCTATGCATCGATGAATTTGCTCTTCAGTGTTTGAACTCTCAGTAATGATTAAATCACACTGAACTGAGCTAAACTGAACTGAACTGAACTTAAACACTAAAACCTGAACCACACTGTTCCAGTTACTGAACTACACTGTTCCAGTTACTATGACCATTTATGTGAAGCTGCTTTGACACAATCTACATTGTAAAAGCGCTATACAAATAAAGCTGAATTGAATTGAATTGAATATTTTTGGCCTTTTTACCTATATTAGATAGGACAGTATTTAAACAGGAAACAAAGTTGGAGAGAGAGAGGGGGGGGTAGGGTAGGGAAATGTCCCCGAGCCAGGATTCGAACCTCGGGCCTCGCTTACACACTGCATAATACAGACAGGATGTACAGCAATACGCAAATATCTTTATATATGAAAAATAATTAAAATATTAATGATATATATTGGATATAAATATAAAGCATTACAATATTACAAAACTTATTATTTTCTAGCCTAAATAAATATAAAAAACATACTCTCATGCCTTCTTCATCTCAGGAGGCTTTTTCAGTTTATTCATAACAGTTTGCTTTTGTATAATGTTAGAATTATTAGCAGTATTATTTATTACTTGCATATGTATATTTGTTTTATTAAAAACTAACTTAGATTTGCCCACCTGTCAGGTTTTAGCCCTTATGGGGCATAGCATGTGTATTAGGATATAACTTGTTATTACTGTTCATTTATTAATTTGCTGGAAATTAGAACTGAATTTAGAAATAGTTTTGAAACAAATCTTTGCGCCTAACAAACAAAATAAATTATTTATAGGCTAATATGTGTACAACACGTTTCCCCTGCTCAGTTTTTCCACTCCGTCATGTAGATAGCAAATGTGCTATGGTGCGACTCAACTGACTCTTAAAGGGAATGGGAGATGAGACTCTGATTGTTTTATTCTCAAAACACACCTATAACTCATTAAGAAAATAAGCTCAATCCTTTTAGACCATGCGCCACGGCGCAAAGTGGATTTTTCCATCCTTAAATTAGCAAAAGTGGATTCCGACACACCCTTATTGCTTTTTGCGCCCTGCGCTTTGCACTTTGCGCATTGATTGTCAAAATAAAACCCTGCATACAACAGCATACAACTTTGTAGAATTTCTGTAGATTAAACTGCACAACACAAAATAAATAATGCTAATCAAAAGGATAAGAGTTGGCTCACTATAGAAAAATAAATTATTTTAGTTTATTTGATGTTTTTGTGTTTATGAGAAAAAAATCTTAGTTATGGAGGTTATGGACCGATGTGAAATTGCCACTTGGTGCCTTTGGTAAATCAAATATAATTGTTTGAAATTTTGACAGGGACATTTCTGAGTATGTTTACAGTACTGTAAAATACTAGCCTAAGCAAACAACCTAGAAATAGTTTCACTATTTTGATGAAAACATTTTTTATTTTCATGGCAAGGTAAACAATTTGCATGGAATTGCTCATATGCTTTTAAAAATAAAGGTTTATATAAAGGTTATTGTAATCTGGATTGATTGATTAAACTTTTTTTAAATATCTGTAGAATTTATTTATTGCACAAAAAAGAGATAAAAGGTGATTTAAATGTGATCTATTTAGAACTGTTGATTTTAGTTTGAGCTCAGGATTAATTCATCCTGATAATATCAAGGATGTTCCATAGTACAATATCAATGTAATACAGGGTGTGAGCATAAAGCTTGCTTCACATCATTTTATTGCTCATCCCTTTTACAGTTCCTTTATTTAAATAATGTTTGAACAAACTGACCAACAATGCTAATTTTAACCATTCTAATAAAATAAAATAAAGTAAAACACATATATTTTAACAATTTGAACAATGTACACTTTTGGTCTAGTAACCAATGTTGGATGTATCTAATCAGTTTTGTGCGATCTAAAACACAAGTCAGGCCCAATCATTTTAGCAAACTATCAAATCTTTAAAGCATCTCACTCATTTGTTACCACATGAAAAAGCCAAATTAGGACAAACACATGAATGAAAACAGACTGGAAACTCACAAATAGTCCTCCACCAAGGATACCTCCCATGAGCCAGACCTGAAGTGAAATATTTTTGGTGTCCAACTGCTCTCCATTAGGGAAGAATAAAAGTAAGTTGGCAATTATAGACAAAAAGGCCGATGGTAAAAGCATCAGCCCCACTAACCGAGCACACTTTCCGGTACACATTGCGATGGATCTGTATTAAAAACACTATAAATCGAGAGAAATCGTCAAAGGCTGTGTTTTTCTCAGCGGAGCACAGGCACTAACTGATACGACAGAACGCCCTTTGAGACCTGACAATATTTACAGTGCTTTTATCAGTGCCATTTATGGTGTGTTAACATGACAGTGGGCAGTGGATGGAGTTTCAGTTCTGGATAATGACTGTCAAATGTGATAAGTTGCTCTGATCTGATTGATCAGTAAGGTTTGAGTGTGCAAAAGTTACAGTTAGGCCATATTCTTTTATAGCCAATTCCATAATATATTTTGTTATAAATAGCATCTACGTCACAATTTTTTTGTGTGACTGTAGGCTACAGCAATACCTCTACTTTCATCTTTGATCTTCATTTCGTCGACCATCTAAGTGTGATTGCTGTTTATTTTTAGAGAGGCTCTTATACACTTATAAAAAAAGGTTGTTCAAGTCGTGAATAAGAGGCTTCAAATGACAATGGAAGGTAACTCAAAATTTATAGGAGTTGCATGTTAAAATAAATTTAACAAAATTACACCGTTAGGTCAAAATCAGATTGATTAATATTCATTAATTTTCCTTACGCTTAGTTTCTATTTCAGATGTTGCCACAGTGGAATGAACCGGCAACTATTCCAGCATAAGTTTTACACAGTGGATGTACTGGGAAACACTCATACACTCTCGCATTCACACACACGCAATCAAACAATATGGGCAATTTAGTTTATGCAATACACCTATATCGCATGTCTTTGGACTGTGGGGGAAACCGGAGCACCTGGTAGAAACGCATGGGAACATGGGTATAACATGCAAACTCCACACAGATAAACCAACTGACCCTGGTACTAGACCCAGCGACCTTCGTACTGTGAGATGACAGTGCTAACCACTGAGCCATTGTGCGGCCTTGATTGGTTATTATACTGAATTTTAAAACTGGTTCCGGTGACTAAAGGGGACATCTTGACCATATGAATAAAATAAATACTTAAAAGAAAAAAAATTCAAAACTGTCAAAATTGTATTTTATTAATGATAATTATGATGATAATGAATATTAGTTCTATTTGATCAAAGTATGCCTAGATGTTTGCCCAGCTATTCGACTTTTTAATGACAGTTTAACTCCCAAAAATATTATAGATTTGTAAACTTTTTAAAGATGTTGTATGTAAGTTTATGACTCTTTCAAAAGCAGGAAAATACCATAATATGTTTGCAGAACATTTTAAGTGAGCATACTTATTTATCTGTAAAACAAAGCTAAAGTCCATTATTCTCATTTGAAAATTTGTGCTGGAGTGTCTGTCTTTGTTTTGGCATCTATAGCCCACCAACTGCCAGTTTACTCAATTATTCATTCATTTGCTTGTCGGCTTGGTCCCTTTATTAATCCGGGGTCGCCACAGCGGAACGAACCGCCAACTTATCCAGTACATTTTTTTTACGTAGCAGATGCCCTTCCAGCCGCAATCCTTCCCTGGGAAACGTTTACACAATTATATTATATATATTATATTACACAATAATATTTAGCACTCTGTGTTGTCTTGCTTTGCAAATAATATAAATATTCAAATGTTGGCTGAGCAGCTTATGTTGTAACACTGTGTCTTAACAACATGCAATTTAGCTGTCCGGACCAGATGCATTACGACATTTAAGTTACAGAGTGATTCAGAAGAGCGGATAAGTGCACTGCACTCCAACAAAATGGTATGTTTGAAAATCTAATCAATGCTTGTTAAATCTCTTTAACATTATTAAAGGTACATGCTGAGTGATTGGTAGTTCTTCAGCGGATAGGAAGATAAAGTTATTGTTATTGTTATAGTTATTAAGAGATTTTTGTAAAAAGTGTAACACCCGTGACACAACAGCAAGAGAAAACTACTTTCATTACATATTTTATAATATTTATTTGTCACTTTCTTTTTTTAATGTCATTTAGATGCTATATTTGATTGCAAGAATACATAATTGCAGGGGTGTCAAACTCAATTCCTAGAGGGCCCCAGCCTTGCAGAGTTTAGTTCCAGTCCTACTTCAACAAGTTTGACACCTGTGATTTATTATATTTTAAATGGTAGAATAATCTGTTTAGAATTTAACTGAGCCTTTAATTGTCATTTATTAGGAATTTATAAAGCATAAATAGTCCTCACTTTAGATTAGGTCACAAAACTGGATGAAGTTGAGTTAATAAAGCATTTACTAACATACAAATTAACTCTTAGTATATGCCTGAATAATAAGATGTATAAACGTTGATTTCAATAGAATCATTCTCTAACTCATTCTGAGTTATCCTAAAATAGCACCAGCTATTCTTAAATAACTGGTTTGTAAATAATGAAATTCTTAATTTAGTAATGAAAAATGAATCATTAAAGTATGAAAACACATTTATTAAGCACATTAAATGGGCTCATAAGTCAAGAATACAGCATGTGTAGCTGTAAGTAGCCTATAAACTACTTACTAACATCTATTAATGTAGGGTTAATGGTTGCATGTTGTTATTCTGATGAGAGGAGCATTTTGTATAAAAAGTCTTATCCAGATCTATTCTTTAAGAGGTTTTTAACAGGGGAAATGTGATGTAGTAATGTTCGTTTATGTTGGTGTCGTCAATCTGGCAACCTGCGTTGTGTCATCGGTAGAGGAGGAGTCAGGTGATAAAAACCTCCATTGTTCCCCCCAACAACTGCAATGACTAGATCAACCACTAGATGGCAATCCTACAAGCGGTACCTTTAAGTTACACCTGAGGTTAAAATCTAAGGATGTGGAAAAAGTATTTGACCTTTAGAGAATGCACGTGCGCAAATTTGTCGCGTCATAGTATGGTGTATTACCTGAGTTGGCGGACGCGGGTTTTGTGATGGTCGGTGAAAAACTACAGCTCGTGCTCCCAGGTGAGTGGCTTAAAGAATTTTATGTAACAGTAATCGAAATCAGATGTTTTTGAGATGTTTCGTCGAAGTCGTCGACGGTTTGCTGTTGTTTTGTGGCGTTGCTAATATTACGGGCCTAACGTTACGCATGACTCAGGTAAGGTTTCTTGAAGGTTGCATTTTGTTTGGGTTTGTAACGTTAACGATTTAGATGCATCGGTGTGACTTACCTAAGATTTCAAGTTAATTACTTTAGCTGTGTCACGGAGATGAGTTTTTGATTACTTTTATTTGTGTCACGAGGATTCATAACTTAGGCTCGTAAAATGCGTGGCAAACATTCACATCTAACGTTAACGGTGAATTGTCTGATCCGAGTGTGCCAACGTTATTATATGTCTATATGTAGTGGATTAAAGGAGATGTTTGTTGATCTACTGTAGCCTAACACTTGCGACCCTCTGCATGTGCCTACAGGTGTTTTTCCATCAGAAATACAGTATTATCTTTTGACATTAGTGGAAGGGTCCGAGATTTATCCTTTTATTGTACCCGTGCCTTTTTTGTTTGTAAATTTTATGAGTTGTTTATTGTGTTTGTTTGTTGTAAGGGGACACAGACGCGCCTACAAATTAAACTGAGGTTCTGTTGTCCGTCTTGTACAACAACATTAAGCTTTTAATCAGTGTTTATTATAATTTGTTGTACACTTCCTAAACACGTTTCAGGAGCACATCAACACTGTCTTTTGCATGATCTCCAAACGCACGGTGTGGTTGTCAGACATTAGGAAGGGGGAGGGGTGCTCCAGGAGCGTGTTTGTCAGTGTTACATTCGGCTGGGTTGTGCTGGTAAGAATAAAATGTTTTTGCTATTCCGCATTTGTCCACCGGATGGCAGACCCTTAACAGTGTGTAAAGGCATGTTTTACAGTGTGTCCGCTAGGTGGCAGACCATCACCGTGTTTTGAAGCGTATTTTACAGCGTATTCGTTGTTTTTATGAATTTTACCTCTGCGGTCGTGTCGTATGTGTTTCCACTTCATCACCGTTTGAAACGTTTTGTGATTTATAAAAGCTGCTGCTTCAAATGCTTAAAAGTAGAATGCATGTGTTTGATTGGAGGACTTCATTAGTAAGCCACTCCTCTAGTCTGTTATTATTTTAAAACCTGCTTTTATTTTAAAAGCAGTAATCTGAGCCTGTGGTCATTTACATGTGTGGTCTTTATAAGAACACATAAAGATGGCTCTGTGGTTTTTTTAAATGTGTTAAAATAGCCAGCCGTCATCCTCTTTATTGTTTCCCGAAATGCGGTCCCTCCTCCTGACAGTTTGTGGGTATCGCTTCTCGGCCTTTTGGCTAAGATCAAGTGTAGTATCTGTTCTTATCAGTTTAATATCTGATACGTGCCCTACCCGGGCACCATATATTAAATTGATTTTTGGAATAGGGAGATGGAATAGGGGCTTGCTCCGTCCACTCCACGCATCGACCCGGTATTGCAGTACTTCCGGGAACGGTGCACCCCCTAATCAAGTTAATGGAAGATTAAAATTTACACAGTAGTGATTCAGAGATAAGACGGATTGATACATGCTTGACATTCTGAGTGTGTCGTGGATATTCTCTGCGTGTGTAAACTCAAATGATTATCTGACGTTTTGTATCTAATTTGTTTGTGTTTTCTAGCACTTAATACGGGTTGTTCTGAGGTGGACTTGCTTGTAGTTATGCCCAAATAATGAATGATTTTGAAATGCTCACACCTTTTAAAATATACACTCTAGTGGTGTAGTCACAAATCTTACGGTTTAGAACGCATCATTTTTAGTCACATCAGACCATTTTTTTGGACCAGTCAAAAAGATAAGACCAATGTCATTTACTTTACATTTATTACAAAAACACTACTGCAAGACCCTTTAGGTTTTAACATGCAGAACTTAGAACCTGTAATTTTATTAAAAATAAAATGAAGAAATAGTCAGGTGAATAAAAATAAACTGAAATATTCAGTACTGTGAAAAATTACTTACTGTAATTAAATTAGTTACTGCTACTGTTGCTGATGATGGTAAATGTAGAAATCTTACATTATAATTTGCACTACCCATATTTATTTTTAGTCTCATTTTCAATAAACGATTCAGTTATTCACTCATA